CCTCTGCCAAAGCCATTTAATCATTTGGATGGAGATGATTTTGTTGGTGTCCTCTCCTAATGTCATGGCTGCAGAGGTTATGTTTCTGGAGATATTTAACCTTTTAAAAATACAAAAATGAACGGTAATAAACACATAAAATTCTCAAAATTCAGCCAAAATGTTGTACAGAGCTTCATTTTTTTGGTCGCTAATTACAATGAAGTAACTTCTGAATAAGATGTGAGACAGCGGCGGTGCTGCTATCTGAAACGACACAAATGGACCCAGTTTTTAAGATGTGGTAAAAACCTTAGATGTACCATGTTAATACTTTTTAAATACGGGGTAGGCAGCAATGAAATTCTTCCTGACACTTATTAGCAGGTACAAAGACCGAAGTAAACAAAAAATGACAATATTGATGCTTTAAAAATTACTCTGCAGATTATTATTTTATGACAGTGTGGACACTGGAGACCAGCACATGTTGAGTTTTGTTAAGAATACATCTGGAGAGAGGATAGATCACTCATAAAGTTTGTTTCTGAGTGACAATATGCTCCTTAACGTTTAATGATGCGACAGGACATAAACACACATTTATGTTGTTCTCTAACATCTGTTTTGACCATCACATGGATCTCACACGCAGTCCCAACAACTACATCCCTGTTCTCAGTGTTTTATCACCATTTTAACAAAGACAAGTGATTGAATTACTGGTAAGCCGGAGGGCTTCGCTTCCCCAGAAGAGGTTTGAACAGTTTCAGCTGGAGGCAGAAAACAAATAAATAACTGATAGCATGGATGTAGAAAACCCGCTTCCATAACAGTTAATTATTAATTATTCCATCAGCAGAAGCTCAGTAAATGAATCTTGTTCTCTCGTGTTTGTCCTGCTATCCTGGTGTACACTCAGTGAGCACTTTATTAGGAACAGCAAACTGAATCTCAGTCTGGCCTCCTTTTGCTCAGTTTTTGGTGGCATGGATTCAACAAAGATGCTAGAATCATTCTGCTCTATGTTGACATGATTCATCACATCATTTCTGCAGATTTATCAGCTGGACATTCACACCGCTAATGTCCCGTTTTACCACATCCCAAAGGTGTTCTACTGGATTCACATCTGGTAAGTGAGACCAGGGAAGTCTGCATGTTCGTGGCAATTTTTACCCCATGACATGGTGCATTATGCGGCTCGAAGTAGCCATTTGAAGAGGGTAAACTGTGCCCACAAAGAGCTACACAGTCAGTATGATTGCTGGTAACAAAGATGGAGTGGGCGGTCTTTTTTTATTTGGGTGCACTGAGCAAAAATTGCACAATAGCCTTTTAGAATATTGTACTTCAGGAAATCTGAGAGCTTAGAGAGCTGAGAGCTCAGGCTTCAGAAAATTCACACAAAGGGAGATTTTGGCCAACAGATAGCGTAACATGTGATAGCAAGTGGTGGCACCAGACTTTCACTCAGGAAAGGGGGGTTTAGGTCCAGCGTGAAGTCAAAATTAAATGCTAGCTTTTAGCTTGAGGATTTTTGCATGTTAGAAATGTGTGCATGTCCATGGTTGTCTGGTGGGTTAGGACAGAGGGAAAAGAGCTGCACCATTTTACGGATTCCTGCAGCTTTCAGGCACCCAAAATGTGCCAAGACAACACAGCCCACACCATTATAACACCACCTGCAGCGGCCTGGACTGTTGACACATGGCAGTCAGGGTCCATGGATTCATGCTGTTGGCGCTAAACTCTGACCGGCCATCTGCAGCCTCAGCAGAATTGGAGATTCATTTTGCTGTGGTCTTAAACTCTCCAGCCTCGGTGAGCCTTTACCTTCTGCAGCCTTTGAGTTTGGTTCCTCCTCTGCTTTTGTAGCTCATCCGACGTGTTGTTTAGTCTGAGCTGCTTTTCTGCTCAGTACAGTTTGTAAAGACTTGTCATCTGAGTTATTGTGGCCTTTCTGCCAGCTGCAGCCAGTCTGACCGTTTCTCTTCAGACATTTCTCATCAACAAGGCGTCTCCTCTCTGGATGGTTTTTGTTTTTCATTACTCTGAGTAAACTCTGGAGACTTTTACAAAAATCCAGGAGATCAGCAACTTCAGAATGAGAGAAACCAGCCTGTCTGGCACCAACAATCTTGTTACAATCAAAATCTCTGAGATCACATTCTTCTCTCGTTTTGATGTTTGATGTGAACATTAAGTGAAGCCGCTGTATCTGCAGGATTTTGTGCATTGCACTGCTGCCACATGATTAGCTGATTGGATAACAGCATGAATAAGCAGGTGTACTGGTGATTTATGCTGCAGACATTTAGGTACGTCATTGAAAGGAAAGCACAGGCGTAACTGATTACATTAAAAACAACTGTGCTGTGATTAGACCATCGTCTACATGTGCGCAGTCAATTTATAAACTGTGTTTTTCCCCTTTATTCTCAAAAGAAAAAAGATAGTGCTGTTTTTTTGTTTGTTTGTTTTTCAATGAAACACTGCCAAGAA